GAAAGAAAGACTATATAGTTGCTTAAGAACAGAATATTCCTTTATAAAAAGTGAGAGCCCATTCCTTGAAGCTAATCAAGCATGGGTTGGATAACCACTGAGAGGGATGTTCCAGAGAAGATTCAAAGAGGAGTTGTACAGAATGTCTCTTCAGCCCTAAGATTCTGTGGTTCTATTTCTCATCCTCACCAGTAATAGCTGTGGCCACTTAAAGAAACAAACACAAAACAAAACAAAACAAAATGGTCCCAATGTCCTAAATGTATAAAGAAAATACTCACCTTATAAATAGAGTTCCTTGAAATAAATAACTGAAGTAGATTTTAAATGTTTATTTTCAAGCCATCATCAACCAAAAATAAAAGAGAAGGAAAGAACGGAGGAGCTTCAAGGTCATGCTCAAGGGACAAGAGCCAAATAGAAAGTCCAGCCATAAATGAAGATCTGGTATCAAAAAAAAAAAAATGAAGCCAAGGATTCCATTTATCCTCAATATCTCTCAAACACATGTATTCTTTAGAAATAGATGATTTAAATAGATGGATTTGATTTTAAAAAAAGTCATGAAGTTCAGAAGCTTTATTGCCTTATATTAAATCACAAGGCTTCATCTTCTCTATCCTTCTGCTAATATTGGTCATTAGATTCAACTTTTTGACACTTTCAAAGAAAGGTAGCTGAAAGTTACCCTAAGAACAATTGCAAGAAAAAGCAAGCACTGTTGAGCTGTTAATAACCCAGATTATCATCCATTCCCCTTAAACAGAGCCCATGTATTTTAACCAGTTTTCTGTTTTATAAATATTACCATGGCTCAACACATCTCTGAGGAGACACAACATTACCCACGGTTCTCATCCTGTTTGCTAACTAATTATATCAACAACCTGAACCAACTTAACACTATACAAAAACACAGCTGACTTAGCAATCTGTATATTATACATGTACATAAATCTGTACCAAAATGTACTGCATTTCACTTCTGTTAATGTTCATGGATTCTTACTGGCACCTACGATTGTTTGATATAGGTTCCTGAACACTAAAACATATGTTCTGCCTAGAATTAAACCATTTAGAGTAATATTTTTGCAGTTTCCTGGCACCAAGGTCTGCTAGCCTTTCTAAGACAGATCTCCTATTTACTTCAACAAGCATTGTGACGAGTGCCTGCAGATTTAAGCAATCATCAAAAAACATTTCGGAACAACACTTTCCAACCATGAAGATCAAGCAAAGCAGACTGGTTTTGCCTATGTGGCAACAAGGCAAATAGGATTTTAAATGATCAATGATATGATTATAAGCAAAATCAGATAGAATATAGGATATTGATTATTCCTGCTGACTACTTATGACAATCCAAAAAAAAAAAACACATAACTATCGAATCTTTTCTTTGAATCATACTCAAAATGTACCAAAGAAAGCTAAACTAGGTTTAGTGCCTGTAAGACCAGTAAGCATCTTAAAAATGTACAATGACAGGCCTAAATAACAGCCGCAGCCAGTCAACACTGTGGAATATGAGGAAGGACCTTGGACCAAGATTCACTAGGATGTAACTTACTAATAGTAAGGTGGGTGGGTTTCTTGGTTTTTACTATATCTCCAGAGTTCAATAAAATATGCTCAATAAATCTTTGTTGAATGGTAAGCCCATAACAAATGCTGGCTAATCCTGATCTGCCTATAAATACCTTTTTCTAACTACCTCTTCTAACTGTAAATGAATCAGTTAATCTGAAGATTCTAGCTCGATAAGCTCTAACCTGGAGACACTGCTCCTCTTCTGCTGATTCATGAGGATCAAAGGTGACAGCCTATGAAAAGTGAGTTGGGGGCTGAGGCTGTGGCTCAGCGGTAGTACACTTGCCTGGCATGTGTGAGGCACTGGGTTCGATTCTCAGCACAACATATAAGTAAATAAATAATAAAGGTATATCAACAACTAAAAAAAAAAAAGTGAGTTGGGACTCCATGAAGGAGCACACAGGTGTGGAGTCTGGCTCCTCCCACCCATGCCGTCTGCTAAGCCACTGAGGAAGGTGGGGAGACTGCAATTCCTTGAAATATAATTGGCCTCTCCTTTGCCCTATTAATCTGATTGGGTAATGTGGCTGTTAGCCAAAATGGATCTTGTTCCTATCATTATAACATTTTATTTAATCTCCACTGGGAAATGATGTTTCTTGAGGAAATAATGGTAATACAAGGGATGCTGATGTGTGGCATACTAGAAAGAATGTGACACTGCAGTGGAGGAGACTGGGCCTGACCAGTTCTGTCATTAAATACTTTAGGAAAGTTGCTTGCAGTAATTTCTTTATGGATACAGGAATATAAAAGAAAGAAAATACTAGATAGTATCTAAGGTCCATCTCATAGTTCAATGATATTCAGACACTAGATATTAAAATCATCCCCAAACAAGGCCAGTTCTATTATCCATTAGTATATAATATGAGTAGTTATTTTAAGGATGATAAAAATAGTTCCATGGACCAAGGCCTAAGGGCTAGGTAATAATGTTGCTGCAAGATGTATGAATGATATTCTCTAAAGGACACCAGCTTCAGGAACTATCTGCCCTGCCACTTTGAATAAGTCACTTAATATGTCTAGGGCTCAGTTTTCTGATCTGTAAAAGAGGAACAATAATATAATACAGGACCACTGGGACCAATACCTAACAGAACGATTATGAGGTGTTGCTATTTAAAGATAAAATGCTATTTAAATGCTGTTGTGTCCAAAAATAGGCAGGTGGATTTTAGGAAGAGACAATCAATATTTTTTAAATAGACCTTTGCCATCACAGTAAAATAATGTAATGCATGCAGATATTGTGATATTTCTGGGAGTTCACATTTTTGTCCATTTGGGTTCAGGGAATATTATGAAACGGAACACTAAAAATATAAATCCCACTTTTCAAGATCAGCATTTCTTCTTCTGAAATAATAGAGCATTTTAAAAGTTCAACCAACTGGTCCAAGATGTTTTGTTTTTGTTGTTGATGTTGTTGGTCTGGTTGGTTAATTGAAATCAAGCTGTTGGAGCTGGTGCTGAGATGAAAATGCCAGCGCTAAAAATATTCCCGAGCGGCTGCCTCTATTGACATGCTTACCCAGAAGGGGCTCTACAGCCAGCAAACTAGAAGCTATTCTGCCCGCTTAGCTCAGGTTTCTCAAGGTCCTCCTACAAACCCAAGGATCCCTGAGATTTGCATGTAGGATTCTCTTCCTCCTCCTATTCACAACCTAGATAATATACATTAGATACTGAGCTTTCCAACTTACAGGATACTGCCTCTCCATCAAAAGGTGGAATTGTCATTGATATTTAAATGTAAGTTGATATCACTGACAATGGAATCTCCCACCTGCAAATTGTCTCCACGCTCCCTAACAGTGGCAATAACAGTAACTCTTAAATGATGATTTTATTTAAAAACCCATGTACACTTCCAGCTTTATATCAGAACAGTTCATTGTGACTGTTCATACAGTAATTACATCCCCAGGTAATGATTGTGACCTTGCTCAAAAAGCCTCTGAGTCTGTTTGGAGAAGATCTTGAAGGGAAGGGGGATATCTGAAACACTCTTTAATATTCTTACTCCTAAGAGGCACACAATAAAGGAATGATTGTTTCAAAAAAAAAAAAAAGCACTTAAGTAATGCATGATGCCTGCTATCCCAGTTCATATTTTTTTCTTGTAAGATGAACTTAAATCACTTTTTAATAAAAGAATATTTATTAGTAGCAGAAGTTCACTTTTCATGCTCTTCCCCTGAATGAATCCCTAACTAAATCCAAATGGAAACACATAGTTTTAAATACAAGTTCCTAAGGCTCAGAAACTGTGATACTTGCACTTTATTAAAACCCATTTCCTGAGTTAGTTCCTCAGTCTTAGTAGAATAGCATCTGTCTCTGGAAAGAGAGGGGTCCAAGCGTCTGCAAAGAGCATCTGGGGCTTGGCTGCCTCTCGTTGTAGCTGTTTGATGAACAGGTGTATGCGGCACCTTCCAAAAGCCAGGACTCTGCAAGTGCTTGTGCCCAGGTCACTCAGCTGCGTGTCCAAAAGGCATATGAAATCCGTTCCCTTTCCATCCCTGCTCCTAGGAATCTCACCTCCCGGAGCTTCAAGCCACTGTCCATCTTAACCACAGGGAAACAGATGAGTGCAGGTTTATTGGGTAATGGATCCAAAGATAGGCTTGGTGAATTTGGGGATTGACAGGTGAGCATGAAACACTGTTGTGGGTTTAGAAGAGAATAAATGTGAGATTTGTACCTGTGTAGCCACTTAGCCCGCTTTATTCCTGTGCCCTCCACTTCCCACCTCAATCCAGCAAAACCATCGGACCATCACGATCTTTCACCTCGAAAAGGGTGCGTGGGCAAAAGGACAGAATCAGGCAACCCTGACAGCACGTCCCAACTCCCCACATCCCTACACCTCAGACTTTTCAGCTGCAGGGATGGAAGGTGGAGACAGCTGCATCCTCCCATCCGGAGGGGACCATAACCCAGAGTTGCCCGTCTTTACTGCTGGCTCTCTTGAGGGGAGAGGAGGCGCCTGGGGTAGCAGCTCTGAGAGCCTTCGCGGAGTGGTAGGCAGTACTGATGCGCTGCCGCTCCTGCTGCGTCCAGCTTCCAGTCACTTTTCCCAGTACTTTGCTTATCAACTGTCACGCTTTTTTTGGCGATGAAGACAGAGAGGAAACTAGAAAAGGCTCAAAAGGTGTCCCCTAGATTCTCTGCCCTTGGGATGTGGGCGCATCGGACACCGCCCCGCCCTGCCCACCTTCCCCTGCCTCCGGGTGGCAGCCCCGGGCGCCCGCGCTGTGGCGGTGCAGAGCTCCGGGGTTCTGCTGCGTCTGCTGGCACGGTGCAGCGGGAGGCGTCGGTGATAAAGGCATCGATTAAAACCAAAAAAAAAAAAAAAAAAAAAATCTGGGAAACCGAAATCCGAATGCACCTCTTACCATTGGACCGCCGGACAATATTCTCCAGAAACGTGTTTTGCGGGGCCACCAGTCCCCTCCTGCCCCCGGCCATGGTCATCCTCCCGGCAGCTCGGGGTCTGGGGACGTCCCGACGCGGCTTCTCACCGCAGCAGGCAGCTGGGCGCGAGACCCGCACGCGATCCGGACTCGAAGCACCCCATGCGCCCCACCGGGCCCCGGGCGGGCAGGGGCGGCGGCTCGCTCCGGCTGCCACCCTCGCGCCCTGTCGGTGCCTCTCTCCCTGCGGCCCGCCTCGCAGTGCACTCGCGCGGGGCTCCGCTCCCTGCAACCGCCTTCGGGTGGGCGGAGGGAGCCGCGGCGCCTGGGCCGGCGGCGCCCCCTACCGGGCGCGCGTTAGCCCAACGGCCTGCGGGAGACCGAAGTGGGCTCCCTCCGAGGCCGAGGAGCGACCCGCAGCAGTGGACTAAGGCTGGGACGGCAGCGGCACCCTCTGGGCACAGTCGGGAAATATGTCCAGGATCCTGGGTGGAGAGGAGGACGTCTTGAGCAGCTTTCTGGATAAATTCACTCCAAAAAAGTCCCTAAGAGTCTAGGGGAACACCATAATATAATTCTTTGCTGTTTCGGACAGGAGGCTTGGAACCTCCGAGGCTCTTGGAACACCTTCCTGCCCTCCCACAGGGTTTGTTAGCCGGATTTGTGAGTTTCCTCCACATTGATTCTCAAGCCAGTGTTTTGCCAGTATTCAAAGAAATCATATTGGAAGAGGGCAGACTTGCAAAGTGACTGACAGCTTCATCACAGGTGTCTTGAGTTGTCTTTACTATCTGCACACAAGCCGCATCCTGACACTGAATAAGTTTCCTGACTGATTGATCTTGGGCCCATTCTTATCCAGCAAATAATTTACCAAAATACTAAGAAAGTACATAAGCATTACGTAACATAGTTAAAAAACAACTTCTTACAGTCAGTAGGAAACAAACTGCCTGACAAACATCAAAGCAATGGACTTGTCTGCGAGGGTAGATGCTTGAGGGCAGCTTCACAAACTTTGTTCAACCGTAGCCTTCGTTTGAAGGGCAGTTCACCATGCACAGAAGGAGGCAGGTACTGGTCTTCACACCTGCCCCCTTCACATGTGCCTGAAGTTTCTAGACAGGAGCCAAGACAATCATCCTTTGTTCATTTATTTTGGGGGATTTCTACTTGCACATAGCCTGCCTTTTTACTGTATGACTGGGTGTGACAGGAGACTAAACAGTATGCCCCTCATGAGTGATGAGTTGATAGTTTACTAGTTACTTCTAGACTGTGTCAATAGTCCACAGGAAAATGTAAAAAGGGCAAAACTGACCCTGTAAGCTCAGTTGTCTGGGTTTACCATCCTGATGTATCCCAATGTACTGCAAAGACATTCTGCCTCAGTTTGCCAATCCCAAAAATCAAAGAATTCCTTCCCAGCCATCTCTCAAGAGATGCTGTGAAGAACAAAGGAGATTACGTAGGGAACAGCACTCTAATTTAAAGTGCTGACCAAATAAATTGGGCCATTACAAATATCATCCTTTGTCTACTTGTAAGCAGATGACTTCTGTTAGCAGTTAGGTACAGCTGGTATAGGACTTTGAAATGAAAGTGATGCTACTCTTCTTCCCTAGGATAAGGTTCTACCCATCATACCAGGCACCCAGTTTAGAGCTGTGATTTCTTAAACCCTAGCTCCGTCTAGTGGTCCTTTGTTCTATTACAAGCAAGATAACTGGGTGGTTGAATAGAATTTGACTCTGGAATGTATTTGGTGCAGAGTTCAGCTGATTTGGTGTCTATCCGCTTTATTTGTTTAGGTTGACTTGAATAAGGCTCTTAAGGTTGTGTTATCTATGCCCGAGGGGAGATTTTTCAGGATGATATTAAAAACTTATCAGTAACTTCATAATCCTGTTTATGAAAGGAAGATAAAGAATGGGGGTTGGGAAGTTGTCATAAAGAGTTAATAAAACTTAGATTTTAATGAGTTCCTACATACTATGGCTTAGATTAAAAAAACAGATGATAATTGCTTGAAATGAGAGATGTGAAAGCCTCATCATATGTTGGATACTTTACACCTTCGTAGTACTGGATAAGCAAAAGGGTCAAGGAGATGCCTTCCTTTTCATATGTAGTAGTACTGTGGTTCTCAACCTGTAACCTCCAGCCATTCCCCCATTCTCTCAGCTCACCTCAAAGTATCTCACCTTATGAATAGAATCACATTCTTCCCCATCCCTGTTCTCAGGGAGATTTACAGGAACAGCTTGCACACATTCCAGTGAACACTCCATCATTCCAGGTGCTGGTTTCGCAGGATGCTGTGCTTCTCATCTCTTACTTGCCACCTTCTGTTCCCTCCTCTACATTCAATCTCAGCGCCTCCTGAACTTGAACTTCTGTCTGGGATCTATCCCTGTAACTTAAGACACTGAGAGAACATTTTCATCTTACAAATTTGTCAAAATTTGGTAACACATTTGTGAAGGATTCACAATATAGAGTGTACCTTGGTAAGCCTGCTGAGAGGTCCTGTACTTTCATATGACAGTCATTTTCATCAAAGGGACGGCTATAAATAATTCACCAGAGTTGCAGTTGGACTTCTGTAAGTGCCTAGAGCTTCCACCTAGAAAGATGCAGAGTCTGAAAGAAAAGCTCCAGAAATTTGACTCCACAATTTTTCTGGGCTTCCTTTTCTCCTCTTCTCGTTTCCCTCAGCAAAACACACATTTATGACTGTGTTGTACAATAGATTGTGGGCTTCTTGAAGTAAAGACAAACTTGAGCCATCTTTGTTCTCATGAATGTAATGAAACTGTGCTACAACGAGTGAATTCACAAAAGGAGTAGATAGCGATGGATGCAGAATGCAGATGCAGAGAAAAGACAGAGATGGGTATCGGTAGATCAGCTGGGGAGAGAGTCCAAGAGAGGACAAGAAAAATCTGCTCAGCAACAAGAAAATCTATCACAAGAAGAGGATGGCAACGCCACATACCAGAAGGGACAAGTGGTGTCATACAGCGAGAAACTGCATTTTTTTCTGTCATGAAGACCATGAGGTATGGGTGAAAGATTTTAGAATACACTTGGGTCCCCCAAGACATAGAGGAGAGTTGCTAGTGAGTCCTAAAAGATCAGGGAACCAGAAGGGGCAGGACAGGGCTTTTCCTCCTTAACCACATAAGAGGAAGAGAAACTGGACAAAGTGGTGATTTCAATACTCAACCACCAGGAGTGACATATCTAAAAGTGGAGGAATTCACAGCATGGAAAATTTCTGTTTCTACAACCCTTTCACTGATTTATTGTTTATTACATGTAGTTTTTTATTAACTTCTAATAGGCTTATAAGAAGTGTGTCAGGCAAACTATATCCGTTGGAAAACCCCATTCTGCATTACAGATAATGCTCACAAATGCTGAGGAAAGGGAATGAATCTCCTCAGTGGGAATTCTAGCCCACAAATTTGATGACAGGGGAAAGGATGCACTATGTGAGTGTTCCAGCCAGTGTGGCTAACCCAATAGGCATCTTTAAGTGTTTGTAGAATCTGATTATTTCCTTCCTAAGTGCCCAAAGCAATTATCATCCTTTCTCACTTCCTGTTATCAAAAGAGAAAAGGATCATTTACCATACTCCTCCCCCTAGTGTAAAATAATTAAAAGTCATTTATAAAGCTTCATTTTATGATTTAAAAAAATGCACAATCAAGCATGCTCTAGCATGCTTGATAAGTTCTAAGGAAGAAAAAAATGGGTTGTGACTGGCATCTGCTCTCAAGAAACTGAACAAAATACTTCGTGGATAATTATTTTCTTTGTGATTTTTTTTTCCTTTTGACTGCATTCCTCTCCCCATTGTGCTGCCTAATCTTGCTTTTTATGTAAATAAACTATAATTAAATTTGATCTCTTCACTGAAAACTTTCCTGCCTCCTCTTAACTGAGACTTGGTTCTTCTCTAAGGTCTTGGGGTCTTGGGGAACCCGGTTCTTTGGAAGATATTTATTCTGCCATGGTCCATGCACATAGAAGTCAGAAGTTGAGATGAGAATACACTTGGGTCCTCATTGCCATATCCAAACCACTATTCTCTATTTGTGTAGAATTTCTCTGGACTTAGAAGTTCATGATCAATAATGATGTCACTCTACTCTTCTTCACTTCTTAAACACATTTGGGGAAAATTGTATTCTATCTTGTATCTGAAGGAGATTGCAGAGAAATATTAAGTAGGCAGTTGGACAGACATGTCTAGCCCCCAAAAGAAACTTCTGTATGGAGCCAGAGATTAGAAATGACCACTTTGTCATTTTCAAAGGAGACCGAGAAAAAGTTCTGAAGTAGAAGACCTGGGAGAAGTGGTTCTGTAGAAGCTTAGAGGGAGAGAAGTGAAGAGCAGCATCATATGTTGGACACTATAAACACTGGAAAAGGCTCATTGGCTTTCATGACTACTTGGCAAGTTGAGATCATAGCAGAAACGTTTTTAATGAAATGGGGCAGGAAACCAAAATACAATGGATTTAAAGCTTAAATAGAAACAGTCAAATATAATGGTAGACTGACCTAAGGGGCAATTAAGTATTGCCTTTTACCTCAAGCATAGAAATGTTTTTAAAATGTTTTTCATATATTTCCAAGCTCAAAAGCAAAAGGAGAAATTTCAACTGTCAAAACAATTAAGAATTCCACAGCAGTTAGGGATAGTCAATGATGGTGGTTGGGGGAAGAGAGAATTTCAAATAGGAATTTCTTTTAGGGGGCTGCGGGTTTAGAGTTTGTGTGATGATGTGTGCTGAAGATATAGGCCTCATGCATGGTAGAGAACCTAGAACTAGATCCCTGAGGGAGCCAGGAGCCTGGAAAAATAGGATCTACCAGTAAAGCCCTTAGCTTGCCCAGAATATGAGTGGAGATAGAGTAAACCTTCAAAATAAGAAACTCTAGACTAAGCATTCCACTAATATGGGATAGACTTTTTCCAACTACCTTCATTTTCTGGGAACACTGTGCCAAGATATTAATACAGAAGCCTCATATCACCCTTTCAGAAACCAATAAGGAACTGTCCCATAGGGGAACCTTATACCAACCAGTACACCTGAAGACCCTGACAGAAAATTCCTCCCAATACTGAGCATACAGACAGAATTACAAGTTATACCAAAAAAAAATGTAACACCATAAATGAAACTACCTAACAAATTAGAAATAAAGGA